TCTTCTTTTTCAAAGATGTTTTAGCAACTATAGTCCTTTGATCAGCCATATGAAATATAGAATCAGCTTGTCAATATCTACAAAAAAGCCCACTGGAATTTTGAATGGAATTGTATTGAATCTACATATCACTTTGAGTAGAATCGATATCTTAACAACAATGAGTCTTCTGACCCATCGACATGGTGTATCTTTCCTGTTATTTAGGTCTTCAATTTCTTTCAACAGTGTTTTTTAGTTTTTAGTGTGCAAGTCTTTCACATCTTTTGTCACAATTTTCCTTTATTATTTCAAATTTGTGATACCTTGGCAGTGTTTTATTTTTAAACGTCAATTTCTGATTGTTCATTATATGTCAATATAAAATTGATTTTTGTATGTTAATCTTGTATCCTGCAACCTTGTTAAACTTATTTAATAGTTCCAGTAGCTTATTTTGTACTTCCATTGGATTGTCTATATGGACTGTTTTTTGTTTTACTTTATAATTAGCCCTTTATTTCTTTTTCTTGCCTTATGACACTGGTTAGAACCTCCATGTAATGTTGAATAGAAGTGGTATGAACAGATGTCTGGGACTTGTTCCTGATCTTAGGGGATATGCATTTAGTCTTTCATCATTAAGTATTGTATTACTTGTAGGTTTCTTGTAGATGTTCTTTATCAGATTGATGAAGCTTCCTTTTATTTCTTGTTTCCATGGACTTTGTTTGTTATTAATTAGGAATGGATGTTGGATTTTCTCACTCTTTTTTTTCCCCTTGTGTCTATTGAGATGATTATATGTACCTTCTTTTATAGTTTGTTAATGTAGTTGAGTTGTACTGATTGGTTTTTAAATATTAAACAAACCCTGCAAAACAAACTCCACTTAGGCATAACATATTATCCTTTTTTATTATATTGTTGGATTTTGATATATTCATGAGGGATATTGGTTTGTAGTTTTCTCTTTTTTACAATGTCTTTGGTTTATTATCAGGATTATGCTGGTCACATAGAATGAATTATAAAGTATATTCTACTGTTAAATTTGCTAGAGGAGTTTTTGCAGAATTGGTATTATTTCTTTAAATGTTTGGTAAAATTCACCAGTGAAGTCATATGAGCTTGATATTTTCTTTATGGGAAAGTTTTAACTACAAATTCAATTTCTTTAACAGATAAAGGCTGTTCATGTTATCTATTTCTTCTTGAATGAGCTTTAATAGTTTGTTTTTCAAGAAATTGGTCCATTTTTTCCAAAGTTTTCACTTTTATTGGTGTAAAATAATTCATAATATTGCCTTTTATAATCTGCCTTTACATTTACTAATGATACCTCTTAGTCCTAACATTTGTAATCTGTGTTTTTCCTTTTTCTTTTTTTCCCATCTGATTAGTCTGGCTAGAAGTTTATCAATTTTATTGATTTCCTTTGTTGGCGTAATAGCTATAATTGTTTTGTTTTTGGTGGTTTCTTTAAAATTTATGATATACATCTTTGACTTATCACAATCTGCCTTTAAGTTATATTGTACCATTTTATTTATAGTATGAGAACCTTCTCACACACTACAGTACTTCCATTTTCCCACACCTAGCTTTTATGCTGTTGTTTTTTTACATTTTACTTTTATGTTTATTATAATATATAAAAACTCCAGACTACATTGTTATTAATTTTGTTTAACAATCAACTCTATTTTAAAGGGATTTAAAAAACAAGAGGAAGTAATTTTAAATATTTTACTCATATAGTTACCATTTCCAGTGTTCTTTATTTTTTTGTGTAGATTCACATTTCTGTCAGATATCATATTTTTGTGTGTGTAAATAACTTTCTGTAGCATTTCACATAGTGAGGGTTGTTTGGTGATGAATTCTATCAATTTTTATATTTCTTGAAATTTATTTTGCCCTTGTTTTTGGATGATATTTTCTCTAGGTACAGAATTCTAGGTTCACATTTTGTTTTTATTTCATCACTTTTAATATATTGCCCTTCTTTCTCCTTGCTTATATTTTTTCTGACAAGAAATCTATTTCTTCCTTATTTTTGATCTATATATGACATGTTCTTTTTCTCATATTGCTTTTAATATTTTTTCTTTATCATTGGTTTTGAACAATTTGATTATGATGTGTCTTGATGTAATTTTCTTTCATATTTCTCATATTAAATATCATGTTTCTCATTGGGCTTTTAGACCTGTGGGTTTATAATTTTCATAAAATTCGGAAAATATTTGCCCATTATTTCTTTAGATTTTTTTTTCTGTGCCTCTTCACTTCCGCTCCCCACTCTAATTATATACATATTAGTCCATCTGAAGTTGTCCCACAGTTTACTGATGTTCTGTTCATTTAAAAAAAAATCATTCTGTTTCATTTTGGAGAGTTGCTGTTTTGTCTTCACATTCACTCATTTTTTCATTATTGTCTAATAATCCCATTCAGTCTCTTTTTTTATCTCACACATTGTAGTTTTTGATTTCTAAATATTAGATTCTTTTTTCATATCTTCCATATTTCTACTTAACGTTTTGAACATATGGAATACATTGTAATCGCTGTCTTAATGTCACTGACTCCTAATTCTAACTCTGTCCTTTTTGAATTGGTTTTGATTTTTCTCTTCATTATGGCCCATATCACCATGTTTTTTTTTCATGTCTGGTAGTTTTTAACTGGGTGACAGATATAGTGAATCTTACCTTATTTGGATGTTGAATATTTCCACATTCCTGCACATATTCTTGAACTTTGTCGTAGGATTCAGTTAAGTTACTTGGAAATAGATTTCAGGTCTATTTCAAGATTTGTTAGACAGGACTGGAGCGGTAATCATTCTAAAGCGTACTATCCCTCACTACTCAGCAAGAATCCCATGTGGGCTCCAGTCAGTTCTCCATGAATCATGATGTTTTCTAGTCTGGCTGGTGAGAAAGACACTACTCCTGGCTCTTTGTGGACACCAGGTACTGCTACCTCTGCTTTCTTGGGGTGTTTTTCAGGTAGTTTGGCCTCAGGTAGTTTCCTCACGTGCATGCTGAGCTGTACCCATAAAAATATTTAAGGGAGATACTCCAGAGTTCTCTGTACAAAACTGTCCTTCCCGATACTCTGTCCAGAGAACTCTGGCCATCTCAGCTTCCCCTGACTTGCAGTTCCATTTTCGCAACTCAGGGTGTCCACTGGGCTTCACTGAGGTCCTACTGTCCCCACACTCTGTACTGCAGCCTGGAGTCTTTCTCAAGGCAATAATCTGGGGCAATCCTAGGGCTCACATCATTCGATTCCTGTCTCTCAGGAATCACTGTCCTTTGTTGCCAGGGCTTCAAAACTGTTGTTTACCATATTTTGTCTGCTTTTTGGCTGCTTGAGCTATGCGGGGCAAGAGTAAATCTAGTTTCTCTTACTACACTTTGCTGAAAGTGGAAGTCCTCTAAAAGAATGAATACATAACAATAACAGTAGCAACATTTGCTGAGTGTTTTTATCTAGATTACTGTTTTAGGAAGTTTGGGCTGCTATAATTGAATCTCATAAACTGGGTGACTTAAACAACAAGCATTTCTTTCTCACAGTTCCAGAAGCTGGAAGTCCAAGATCAGCATGCCAGCCTGGTTGGGTTCTGGTGAGGGCCCTCCTCCTGGTTTATAGATGGTCACCTTCTCATTGTATGCCTACCTGGAATAGAGAAAGAGGACTATCTGTCTTCCTCCTCTTCTAAGGACCCTAATCCCATTGTGTGAGGTTCACCTACATGTTCTAATTACCCTCCAAAGAGCCTACCTCTTAAAACCATCCTCTTGGGTGTTAGGGTTTCGATATATGAATTCGGAGGTGGGATGGGAACACAAACATATAGTCCATAACAATTACCTAATTTAAAATTCTTCAGCAACCCCCACAGGATTCTTCTATTATTCGTAGGAGAGGAAACTGAGGTGCAGAGAGGTTAAGTCACTTGGCCGGGGTAACACAGTTCGGAAGACTGGCTTAAGAGCCAACCAATACTTGCCCTTCTGTGTAATAATGTGGGAGGATATTTAAATAGATGTGTGTATAAGGTACAGAAATGTTCCAGAGAAAAGGAATAGAACTTTGCTGATGATGGGGAGCAGGGATGGACAGGGCTGAAGGCAAATGGAATAGAGGGAGAGAGGAAGCTTCCTGTTAGAGGTGACACCTGACCTATCATTTCTGAATGATAGGCAGTTTGGAGTCACTAAAGTTTAAGAGAAAAGAATTTAGGCCAGGCACGGTGGCACACACCTTGTATTAGTCTGTTTTCATGCTGCTGATAAAGACATACCTGGGACTGGGTAATTTATGAAGAAAAAGAGGTTTAATGGACTCGCAGTTCCACATGGCTGGGGAGGCCTTACAATCATGGCAGAAGGTGAAAGGCACGTCTTATATAGTGGCAGGCAATAGAGAATATGAGAACTAAGTGAAAAGGGAAACCCTTTACAAACAGTCAGGTCTTGTGAGACTTATTCACTACCACAGCAACAGTATGGGAGAAATTGCCCCATGATTCATTATCTCCCACTGGGCCCCTCCCACAACATGTGGGAATTATGGGAGCTATAATTCAAGATGAGATTTGGGTGAGGACACAGCCAAACCATACCATACCTGTAATCCCAGCACTCTGGGAGTCTGAGGCGGGCAGATTGCTTGAGTCCAGGAGTTCAAGACCAGCCTGGGCAACAAGACAAAACCCTGTCTCTACTAAAAATATGAACAATTTGCTGGGTGTGGTGGCGTGTGTCTGAAGTCCCAAGCTACTCAGGAGGCTGAGGTGGGAGAATCATGTGAGCCCAGGAGGTCAAGCTGCAGTGAGCTGAGATCGTGTCACTGCATTCCAGCCTGGGCAAACAGAGTGGACCTTGTCTCAAAAAAATTATAAAAATAATTGAAAAGGATTTGACTGTAGATGAGGTGTGAGAAGTAGAGGGTAGCTCACAGAAGGTCTTGAATGCCAGGGTAAAGTGCTTATCAAGGGGAAGCCATGCAGGTGTTTTAAGTAGAGTGCGGGGAGGTATATTATGAGGTTTTGGTATTAGAAAGGTGTTCTGTTGGAGAGGATAGTGTAGATTGGGAGGGAAGAGGAATGAGACCTATTAGAAAGGCTGTTCTGTTCATCTAGGCAGAAGAGATGCTGAAGGTTGTATGGAGACACCCAGGCAGAATCTTACACAGAGAAGGACCAGAGGTGAGGAATATTTGGAAGGTGGCATCAATAGGATTTGGAGACAGATAGAATTGAGAATGAGGAAGAAGGCAGACTTAGTGCTTTCAGGAGTCTGCCGGGTTACCATTTGCCAGGATGGGAAACCCAAGAGGAGGAGCGGGTTTAGCGGAGAAGAAGGAAAGTTAACTCCTTGGAGATGGCAAGTGTTTGTTGCTCTAGTCTGCCTCAGGGAGACTCTTTTCCCATCATTAAAACTGGAAGCCTGAGTTAGGTGACTGCTCTGGTCTTCCTGCTTTAATGTGCTAGGCCCTGAAGTTTCATAGCCCATTTGATTGATGCTGAAAGTCTTCAGGACTGTGTAGTTCTCTAATGTAAAGGAGGATTTCTTTGTCCACATAGTGGAATCAGTTTAAAAACTGCTGGTTTAGGGCCTGGCACATGCGGAATAAGACTCTAAAAACCCCTCAGTAGTCGTTTGCTGGAGCGCCCCGGCACTGTCATCTGTTCCCTACAGGATCTCGGTTCCTTCTCCTCTCAGTCCCATTTCTTCATCTCTTAAATGTGAAAGTGATCCTAGCCTTAGAGCAAGTGAGCATCCAGTGAGTATGTGACGATGAAATGCAATGAATACAGTGTCTCCTGCTTCTGAAGCAAAGCATCACATTTCATCTCATGTGATGATGAAATGCTTTATTGGCTGCAAATCTGATTTTTAAAGAATGTGGCATTATAATTTTAGTAGCTCCTTTGTTTTACTACAATGCATTGATAGTCAAAATTCAAATAATATAGGCATGTGTAAAGTAAAAAGTGGGAAAAAATCCCCACTCCTCAGAAATTGCTTTTGTTTAGTGTGTATCCTTTCAACCTTTTCCTGTGTATAAACAAATAGAGCTATGACACACAGAACTGTTTTTCTTTAAAAACATGGGATTATACTACCCATTCTTTAGCCTTCATTTTCTCCCATTGAATGTGTCTAGGACATCGTGCCATGTCAGTGCTGCACCGTAGTATTTCATTGTATGAATGCATTATGACTTTAAAAATCATCACCCTGTTGATGGACATTTAGGCATTCCCTTATTTTTTGGTTGAACAAATGATGTGGAATATCCTCACATGCCTTTATACGCCCGTGCCAGCTCTCCTTTGGATAGATATCTCAAAGTGGAATTGATATACTAAAGAATTTAGTACATTGACATTTTTGACAGGTGAAAGCCAAACACAGGGCTTTATTAGAGGTAGTGTACTCAATCCTGAGGGCAAAAAAATGTCTGACAGTGTCTCAGAAGTGAGGTCTCAGAGGTGTGTGCATGCGAGGGCTTTGCTCTGTGATTCCTGGCTACAACAGGAGGAAGTGTGAGTTTTGGTAAAACAACTGAAAGCCTGACACTTTGCAGGTTATTTCTCACATTAATTAGGATTAAGTTTATTTCATTAAAGAAAGAGGGAGATCCACATTACCCTGCTCTTCATTTGCAAAACAGGTATTCAAATATGATCAGCAGGTGGCACCACGTGGAAGCAAGCGGGATTCTTAGTGAAAATTTTTGTGAAGAGTCGAGGCGGATACAGCCTTTCTTTCCAATTTTAGCAGATGGCCAATAAAAAAATTCCTTAGAGTTTATTTTGCATATGGTCTTCCATCTGGGTATTTGAGAAAAGTACAGTTTTGTTATCAAAACAGTATTTATTATGGTGAAAGAGTTTGTATTTCTCAGCAGAAGAATTTTTCTCTGAATATAGCCAAAAACCTGTTCAATAATGTTTTGCAGTTTCTTGGAGGGAAGCAGCAAGCACGAGATTCTTTCATTTTCCTCTCCAGTTACCACCCCAAGTTAGCGTTTATAGATTCAGCTCCTCAAGACCGAATGAAGTGCATTATTTGCAAAAACCCCCAGAGAACAATGTTCTCCACTGGGTTTAGGAACCAGGAAAACGTGGCGTTATAAGTGGGTCAGGGTCAAGGCAGAAAGAAAACTCGCAGTGTGAAGTGTATATTCTTTGTCCTGACTCCACACTTATCGAATAACCTTCCGGTAAATGGATTACTTGCATCATTTTCCTTCCTGTAGACAGTGTACTGGTTTGACTGACTTTGGGTAATCCAACGAATGGCTTATCAAAACGATGCAGTTAAACTCCTGCACATGCCTTGTAGAGAGCTCTTAACCACCTTGGCAGCTACACTTCTCTCCATTTCTGAACTCTTGCTCCTGGTTCCTTCCATATTCAGCCTTTTATTAGATACTCAGTGGCATCAAGACCTCTCTTACCCTGACCGCCTTTCTTTTTGCATAGAGCACCATCTTCATTCTTTGTACCCCCTCCACTTCCAAGCTGCTGCTTTTCATCTGACAATTTTGTCATTTTTCAGACCCCCGCTCAGCTTTTATTTTCTCTAGAAGCCTACTCTGACCCCCACATCTGGAGCAAGTTCTCAACAGCACCTTGTTGTTTTTCTTTTCATGGTACTTATGCTAATCACACTGTCTAGTGACTACCTGTTTAATTACCTTCCTTTACTACTGTAAGTTCCACAAGGGGAGTGACCAGATGGATCTCATTCATCATTATCTCCCCTGTGCCTATTACAGTGCCTGGCCCACAGTAGGGACTCACGCATATTTGCCAAATTGAGTTGCAAATTAATGTGCATATGCTGTGGTTTACTTTTTATTGTCTCTTGTGAATTTAGTCATTAAAAGTTAGCCTTTTTGAGACCAGGGGTATCAGCAGGACCCAGCCTGTCACTTCACAACAGGGTGGGCCAGACTGGGACCATGAGAAACTTACCGAAGTGATGCCATCCAGTGGGAGTGCCAGGTGGTCACCAGCCAGCCTTTCCCTGGTGATGACCCAACCTTCAGCCACACACCTCGCCCTAACACATCCGCAGCAGGGCTGGGAACTGACATGGAGAACACAATGTCTTCTGCCTCTGAAGCATGGCATCCCCAGAGGCCGATGCAGTGGCCCTGGGTTCTGGCGCATAACTAGTAAAAGAGGAAAGACAGAAGTGAGGGGACTCCAGCTGTCAGAAGGCAGATGATTCAGAGCGACTTGCAGGGCCGCTATAGGAGTCATCATGATTTCACCTCCCCATCTGCTTCCAGTGTTACTTCCTTTGCTTCCAAAATTAGAACTTCGCCTCCTGCTCGGATATATCATGCTATTCTTGTGCCCCTTGCTTAACAGTTCATTTTGTTTACTGGGAAAACAATATCATCCGGAAACTTTTCCTTTCTGGAAAACATACTTAGATCCTGTTCATCAGGAGGTCCTTTTAAACAGCCCAGGTGATAACTGGCATCTGTGTTGTGCTTGCAGTTTACCAAGCGATTTATATATATATGACCTCTTTTATCTTCACGCAGTTTGGGAAGGTATCATGATCTCCAATTTACAAATGAGGACATAAAGGTTCAGAATCACAGCTACTTGCTCCTGGTTATACAACTGCTGGTGTACTCAGATATTCTTATGTGGTTTAGTGCAGTCAGTTCCTGAGGCCCACTAAGTGCCAAGTGCTAAGGATACAAAACAAGTTAGAGCCGGGCGCAGTGGCTCAAGCCTGTAATCCCAGCACTGTGGGAGGCCGAGGCGGGTGGATCACGAGGTCAAGAGATCGAGACCATCCTGGTCAACATGGTGAAACCCCATCTCTACTAAAAATACAAAAAATTAGCTGGGCATGGTGGCGTGTGCCTGTAATCCCAGCGACTCAGGAGGCTGGGGCAGGAGAATTGCCTGAACCCGGGAGGCGGAGGTTGCGGTGAGCCGAGATCGTGCCATTGCACTCCAGCCTGGGTAACAAGAGCGAAACTCCATCTCAAAAACAAACAAACAAACAAACAAAAAAAAAAGTTAGAAATCTCCTAGCCCTCAGGATTTCTGGAATAGAAGGGCGATCATCTGTTCATCCAGTTGGACATTTATAGGCTTTATATTCCATTGTCTTTCCACTACATCATGTTTTTATTCATCATCTTATAGATGAGGAAGCTGAGATTCAGAGAGTTGAGTAACTTGCCCACAGTCCCATGGCCTATAGGTTCATGGAGCCGGGACTAGGACCCACATCTTCTGACTCTGTCACAATTTCCTTTAGTGTGAACAAATATTTACTAAGTGCCTTTTATATTTCCAGCACTGGCAGAGTTGGGAGTCAGACAAAACATGTAGCCTTGGCTTCCAGTGAAGGGTCCTGCTTAGCAGAGGAGGCGGATGGTCCATGCTGGGATGGAATTAAACACAGGCACTGTGGAAACCAGCGTAACATGGAGTGGGAAAGGTGGGAAGGTGGAGAAGTCAGGAAAAGTTCCTATGCAGTCATTTCAAGTGAAATGAAACACTGAACTGGAGTCAGGAGACCCTAGGTTCAAGTCTTTAGATTTTATTATTTTATTTTTATTTTTTTGAGACAGTTTTACTGTATCTCCCAGGATGGAGTGTGGCGGTACGATCTCAGCTCACTGCAACCTCTGCCTCCTGGGTTCAAGCAATTCTGCTACCTCAGCCTCCTGAGTAGCTGGCATTATAGGCCTGCGCCACCATGCCTGGCTAATTTTTGTATTTTTAGTAGAGACAGGGTTTCGCCATGTTGGCCAGGCTGGTCTCGAACTCTTGGCCTCAAGTGATCTGCCCGCCTCTGCTTCCCAAAGTACTGGGATTATAGGCATGAGCCACCGTGCCTGTCCTTTGGTTCAAGTCATGACTTCACCTCTTTACTGGTTATGAAACCCTGGCCAAGTCATCTAGCCTTCCCCCACCCACCAAGGCTTCTTCAATGCCTCTTCTGCAAAAGGAGAAGTTTATAGCTATTCGCTAAGATCCCTTTCTTCTAATCTTTTGTGATTCCATGGGTTTGGCTTTCTTGGACTTCCATAAAATTCTTCATTGGAGTTAAAATTCCGCACAGATTTCTGCTGCCAGGGTTTCAGTTGGAGCACAAAGGGCCTTATGTAATCCATCATCTTGCTACTGCTGGGGTCAGTGTAGCCTGGGGCTCAGCATAGCAGCCAATAATGAAGGCTGCAATACAGCTGCCTCTGTGGGGATAGCTGTGGCCACCCCCGGGCAATTGCAATTCCTTTACCTGTGCTCCATCTGCTCCCAGGTGAGGAACTAAAGCTGCATCTGCACATTCCTTGCCGAGTATCCCTGTGGTGTGATTGGCTGGGGCTAGCAGATATTGGCTAAGCCAAGACATCCTTCCTGTTGGCTCCTTGTGAAGGCCATTCAGAAAGATTCATATCTATCAAGGTTCTCATACTTCTTGGCTGTTGCCCTTGCCCGCATTTCTTCTGCTGGGAGACCCTTCCTGCTCTTCTCCACTGCACAAGCCTTTGCTATGTATCCTTGTTCAGAGTTGATGTCTCCAAATCTGTGAAGGCCTTTTCTGATACCTCCTTGCCTACTCCACCTCTTATGCCCCTGCTGCCTTGATTATGGGACAGTTGACTGCTCTGTCCTCTGATCCCAATGCTGTACTCTCTCAATTATAGGACCCTAAAATACTGTATTTGCAGTGTTCCAGGTTGAGAGACAGTGAGGCAAGAATTTGGGGTCAGAATAGACTTAGGTTGAAATCCTTTCTTCATGAGTTCCTAAGTGTGTCCCTTGGGTAAGTTATACTCTGAGCCTCAGTTTCCTCATCTGCAGCATCCTAGGTTTGCTATGAGAATCACGCTGTATCCCCTCACTAAGTGGACATTTACTTATCTGCATTCCCCGTTAAACTGGCGGTCCCTTGAGGAACTGGAATCTGGTCAGATTTATTTCTGCTCTCTAGTCCCTGACACAAAGGGGAACTTCAGGCATATATGTGAAATGAATGAATATTAAAAAAGGATTTGCAGTTTCAAATTGGATTCTAAGCTGGGTTTAGAATGCTTTGGGGCATTTCTGGCTTTTTGAAAATGTGGAACTGAATGTATTTTAATTTTTAATAAAAATCTGATCTTCAGATGAATTATCTCATATGATGAGAGATCATTCAGGAGAAGAAAAGAGCTAGGACTTCTTTTTGACTGAATTGAATTGTATCCCAGTTTGGTGCTTAACTTAGGGCGCGCGCGTCTGTGTGTGTGTGTGTGTGTGTGTGTGTGTGTGTGTGTGTGTGTGTGTGTGTATGCCCCCCCCACCCTGTCACCAGAGACAGTCCTGTGCAGTAACACTTCTAATGCTAGGAGCTTATTGTTTAATTTTCTAAACTTTGTTTTGCCCCCAAAATACATTTAATGTCTTAAATCACAACTATTACAATCTTTCTCCTTTGCTGTACTGATTTATTATGTGGAATTTTGAGATGAATGTGATCATTAGAGGGCTGCTGCTTTAATGTGCTTCCCCTCCCCGCCCCCCATGGTAAGCTTTTAAAAAGAAAAAGAGAAGTAAACATTTTTCTGGGAGGGACTATTTTAAAGGTCAAGAAAACCTTGCTTCCCCAAAGGAAGTAAAAGGTCATCTTTCACCCTTCAATTTTTATCCTTTCATTTCATTTTTCAAAAGTTCTTAGTGATGTCACCTGAGTCACTTGACTAGAGATGTCTAATTTTCTACAAGAAAATAGTAGAGCCAATCTTGACTTCAATGCCTATTTCAAAAGGAAATTATAAAAATTGCCCTGCCTCTACCCTCTTTCCCTATCTCCAAAGAAATAAAGAAATCTCTCCTATTCTGTTTCTTGTTCAACTTCTTTTCTGTATAATTGCATCTTGGATGGGTTCTAATGAAAGGCAAAGCAAAGTAGAGATTTGAATTTAGAAAGGTGGTATAATCAAATTTTCTGGTCTTGCTAATGAAAGGATCCTCCTATCCTTTCCCCTCATCCAAAGATACACCCTCTTCCCCCACCTTCCTTCTGAAATTAACCCTGTACATTTGCTAGAAGGATGAGAAGAATAAGATAAAAGGATGTGTTTGGCTAGAATATATCTATAACAGTTATTCTCTGTGTGTTTAGACCTAAGAATCCCTTCCACTTTCTTTTAGCTTTTTATTTTGACATAATTTTAGACTTACTGATAATTTTTAAGAATAATACAAATAATTTCTACATACCCTCCATGCAACCCCAGATGTTAACATTTACATCTGCTGTCTCTCTCCTTTTTGAGCGTATGTTGCCTACGCGATGTTCCTACATGTAACCCTTACCACTTCTGTATATTTTTCTGAAGTATAAAGGCACTTTCTTTTATAACCAGTGTCATTATCAAAATCATGAAATCAACAGCTATCTGGTATTATCATTTTCAGAATTTATTCAGATTTTAAAATTATAATTTTTTAATATATTTACCTGTGTTATTTAAAACACACACTAGTTATGGGGTATACGTCATGTGCTCTGGCTATAATAGTGAATACATTATATACATTTTTTTTCTTATTTAATTCTCCCATTATACCTATAAGATAGATACTCTTATTACCTCCATTTTGTAAATAAGGAGAAGAAAATAAGGCTGTATTAGTCTATTTTTATGCTACTGATAAAGACATACCCAAGACTTATTAGGAAAAAGAGTTTTAATGGACTTATAGTTTCATGAGGCTGAGGAGGCCTCACGATCATGGTAGAAGGCAAAAGGTACGTCTTATGTGGCGGCAGGCAAGAGAGAATGAGGCCAAGAGAAATGGGAAACCCCTTATAAAACCGTCAGATCTCATGAGGCTTATTCACTACCACAAGAACAGTGTGGGAAAAACCACCCCGATGATTCAATTATCTCCCACCAGGTCCCTGCCATGACATGTGAGAATTATGGGAGCTACAATTCAAGATGCGATTTGAGTGGGGACACAGCCAAACCACATCAAAGGCTTGGAGAGTTAAGTGCCATGCCCAAGCTTATGCATTCCTCTCTGGGTGCTTAGCAGGTACTAACAACCATTAAGTGGCAGATCTTGCTTTGAATCATGACCTGTCAGACACTGAAAGCCATATTTTTAACTATCATGTAAACTGATATTTCTGCAACTCTGATTT